TCGGGTACTAATAAATCGCACCCTTGTGCTATTTTTATGGGCTGAGATGATGTCATACTGATATTTTTGAAATTTGAGCTTTATGCTTTGGTGGCCGTTCAGGCCTGCTTGATGTCTGAGAGTCACGGTTCCAACCGTCTCTTCTATTACCGGGTGCCTCAAGCGTACAAACAGTTAAGAGTAGCATTGATGGTGGCCTTGATTTTTGAGGGAATAGAAAAAGACTGGAGAAGGAGAGGAGCGGGTAAGGACCTTTAGGTTTTTCATATTTTCTCTTCGGACTCTTGTGCTCCCTTGATGGGGCGTCTTGTTCTCTCTTTTTTTTTTTTTTACCATCATTACCGGTGAACTCAATTGGCTGAAGAGGATTCAAGTTCTGGTGAAGTAGAGAAGCAGGAGGTTTTGGTTTGCATAAGGTTGGCAACGGGTCGGACCACGGTCAGGCCGTCGCTGGCCCTATTCCCTTGAAGCCCTTGGCTGGGTTGGACAGGGTGAAATCAGAAAAAAACAAGGGAAAATATATACATAAATAAGAACCAGGCCAGACCAAACGGGGTCGCGACTATCTTGGCTTGGCCCAAGCCCAGCCCAGCCCTTGAACCACATTTCGTAGCGAGGGCCCTAATGTTTTTGGGCCGGGTCAGGCTACCTGGCCAATTGCTGCCCAATTGAGAGAATTTTTTTTTTTTCGTTCAAACGACAAATTACTATTAGAGTGAAAAAGGCTCTTTTAAACGGGGGAATTTATGTCATTTTCAAATATCTTGAGGGTGAATTGTAATTTTTTCAAAAAATAATGAAAAGTCATTCCATAAAATCAAAATGGCAAATAATCCTATATGATTCTCTCTCAACCGTATATATATAGAAATTCAAATGATCGCCTTTAAATTTGATAGAGATTTTTTTTAAAAATCAAATAACAAGCCCATGTGATGATTTATTTATAGATCCATGCCAACATGGAGGAAGCCCAAATCACTGATGCGTAATGTCCGCAAGTTTCCCGAAAAACCGTCCTCATAATCTGCCCCAAAATTAATTGAAAATTTCAAATTTCATGTGTGGAATGTGGCCGCAGCGAATGATAAAGGCGCCTTCACCGGCATTTACTACGTTCAATGTATGAAAGAGGCGTTAGCATATCAACAAAAACAAAGAATTCCAAATCCAGAGAAAAGGAAGAGTCATTTCAGCGAGTCGCGTCCAAAAGAGTGAAAGCCGCACATAAAAACAAAATTTTAAAAACGTCCAGGCGGCCCATGCACGTGAAGAGAGAATCCTATGCGCCTCACTACACTAGAGAGGGGACGGGATATATTTGGAGAGAGAGAGAGGATTGATTTTTAATATTTGAGTAAATAAATAAATAAAATATAAAATGAGTGATAAAAAATTACGAGAAATGTCGTTTATTGTAGACTTTTAAATTTTTTTTATAATACCCCTAGGTCTGGGGATAGTATCCCCGGACCATTTCAAGACCGATTTTAAATATCTTTCTTTTAGTTTTTTTCAATTGTCTGAGTCGTGTCTTATGTTTTAAGACTATTGGCAACTAGTATGAGATCCATGCGGTGTTACACCCCATTATAGACGGTATGAGGCTGAAGATTTTGGACCGTTTCAATCCAGTTAGTGGTCCAAGGCCCCAATCCTTGGATTGGGTTTGACCACTTTATAGGCAATCGGAGGATGGAGATTTCGGATTACCTATAATGTGGTGTAACATGACAATGTGGGTAGTTTGAGGATAAGGACCTCGAGCTGCCTATAATGTGCTCTAACACCATAATCTAGGTAGTCTGAGGATGAGAACCTCGGATTAGTCGCAACTATCCCAATACATAATACACAGCTCAGACAATCGAAAAAAAACTATATAAAAGAAAACAATTTAAAACTTAGTTGGGATGCCATCCTCGGATTGAGGAGCAATATGGACAATTTAAAAACTCTATAGTGAACGACCTTTCTCATAATTTTTGGCAAAAATTGACAAATTTTGTATTTTATGTATGGGATAATCTACGGGGTAAGATTTCTATGCTTCTCCTACTGCATAAACGAATGGATAGTTGAGATAGCCCTAATCACAATGTCATGTCTCTATACTATTTTATTCATTTATTTTTTTTTACAAACTATTTTGACACGAAATTTTGGGTGTCTACTCCTCTCTTACAGTCACAACTGTATAAAATATAAAAAAATATTTTTAATAAAATAAAATAATCAAAATACCCCTAAAATGTTCAAATTTAGAAGGTATTAATTCAAATTTATCGTATCGGAATGCTAAATCACTTAACATTAACTAAAAAAAAATTAAGAGATTTATCCAAAAAAAAAATGTTTAGAGCACTTTATATACGGACACAAAAGGTTAATGTTAGAGTGAGTTGTGATGTGTGGATTTATTAAGTATGATGTGTCTTTTTTTCAAAAATTTACTTTTCATGATATCTTGTTCATCAAAAAAGGGTGTTTGTGTAAATATCATTAAAAACAATATGTGCTTTTCTCATTTTCATAATGGAGTAGAGTTGAAATTCTTATTAAAAGACAATGATTCTGGATGGAGCCCACATGGACTCGAATACAATTCGAACTGGAACCAATCCATTAGATCCATATCTTAGACCTATACCATGACCTAAGTCGAGTCTACCTGTCGGGTCTTGGGTCCATGGGTCCCAATTGCCACTTGGGGTCCCAAACTTTCAACTTCTATTTTAAAACCATTGGAGAGTGAGAAAAAGGATCTAAAGAGAATGTAGGATCGGAGAAAGAAAAGTACACGTTAAGGTAAAGTGAGTGGGCAGTCGATCGTCCAATCGACCCGGCCAACCCAAACTTGCCAAAGTATCTAGAGTTTGGTGCTCAAACTCGGATCTTAAAAAAGAATTAAAAAAATTATTTGTATGATATGTTTTTATTTTGGGTTTCGTTTATAGGGTTGTAACTTTAAACAATCCAATTAAAGAGCACCTCTAAATTTTATTATAAATATAATATTGATATAAATTTTTTTATAAATATAATATTGATATAAATTTTTTTATAATAGTTTGAGAATCTATTTTTATATCTAATTATATAATTTTAAATTTCAAAAATGGTTCAAATCAAGTATATATATATATATATATATATATATAAATCTTGAAAATGGACCGTTCAGATAGTGTGTTGCAAGATACATTATTTCTGGATTTGAAATCTTTTTTTTCTTTTTATATTCATATATCTCGATGTCGGGATGATCAATTAGAGGGTTTTTCAGCATCTAAACAACCTTTTATGATGGACTTTTGAGGCGTATCTTTAATTCTGCATTTTAAGGTTGTAACCTTATACACACTTTTTCGTTTTATTTATTTATTTATTTTAGCATAGATTGGAAAGTATTTTGTCAATAAAGTTTAACACTTTTAGGCATGTTTAAGATCTAAACCGAAAGGAAGCAAAATCTGGTTTTGTCGCTTCAGTTAGATTCAAACTGCTTTGGGCTACTTCGGTCAGATTCGAGTCAGCAGCGGGTTGATACAGCCGAAGCAAATAAATATCTATATAAAATTATTTTTTTATATTTTTGAATTTGTGAATTTATTATTATTATTATATATATATATATATTATTTATAAATATCTAATTTAGTTTATTAAAATTTTAAAAACAATCTAAAGTCTTTATTCGAATCGACAAAACACAAGTTACTTCATGTTTCTCACTAAATCGGAAAAGACTTCGAAGCGAACTTGACAACATTGGCATGTGAAAGGCGGGTTCCAATGCAAGTTGTAGTTTCTTGCAAAGTGGAAAGTGGAAGGGAAGGAAAATTCTATTACGGACTAGCTTGCATTTCTACATATGTGGTCAATGATCTATCTAAAAATAATTGAAACCAACTGTCTAAATATGTTTTCAATAAAAATAATATTTTTATTTTAAAAAATTTATTTATTTTTATATTCATAATTTTCATGTTAAATATTATATGTCCTTGAAAATTAAATCCAAAAATCCACCTCAAAAAAGTTTTTTAAGAGGTGCCTCATTTTATTGAAAGAAATTGAGCAAGCTCTAAAGAGAGAAAGAGCGGGGAAGTAGAGAGAGAGAGAGAGAGATGGGAAAAGTAGAAACAAAAGAAAAGCAATATGCATATCTACCGGGTTCCTACTTTCGCTAATTACGGGGTGGGTGGGGACTCGGAGTGCACCAACCCACGTGAACCCCCACCCCACCCTATTCTTTCCAAAAAGCAAGAATGCCCTCCCACCGACAACCAAAAGTGAACCGGACAAATTAAATTCATAAAAAATTGAAACGACATCTACAGCACTTACGAATCATTGCTTTAGCGGGAGCATACTGTACAAACGTAGACAATCCCATAATCCCATTGATCCCAAGTTTATCGAATATCAACTGTTTAGGGGTGCGAAAGTGAAACTCACCTATGTCAAGATTTTAATATTGAAAATATTTGGGATAGATCTTATAGGACCTTCCTCCATATGTGTAGAGGATTTTAAAAATTCATTAATTGGTAGACTGATCTCTAAAAAAGTTATCACATAAGGATGAAATTTGATTTTTTATAGATACGTATCAAATTTAATAAATTTAATTTAATAACGATTTTTTGAGATCTTACGCACATAAATCAACAAATTTAATGGTGATCCTTTGATGTACTACAGGTTGAAGAAGATCCTGTAGAATCATTTCTCTTATAAAAAACTTAATAAATATGGTAGATCGCTTGGGTACATCAAAACAAAAAACGGTAGATCGCTTGGGTACATGAAAACTAAAAAAATCTAAAATAGTACAAAAAAAAAAAAAATTACTTGTTAGAAAATGCACTATTTCAAAAATTTTAAAATTTATTTTTTCACTCTTGTCTACACATCTTGATGTCGAGATAATTGAGGATATTTAGGCATCAAAACAAACAACCCCTTACAAAGAAATTTTTGAGGTAGGCTCTAAGTTGATGGTTCAGAGCCTCAGCTCTATACAAGCTTTGCTTTTTCCATTATGTAATAACCTCTAAAGGATAATGCAACAATATTTAGATAACAATTTCAAAACAGTATAATTCACTGCAATCTTACATCTTCAACGCAGTAATCTCCTGTTTTTACAGAGACATGGATAGGGAGAGAGTATGCGGTCTCCTCCAGTCCTTTAATGGAAGCACTGAGAGGGAGAGATAAAAGTTACAGGATCTTCCTCTCTTCTTTTACCTAAGCATTGTGATTACCAGATCTGCACAACCAGAAGACAGGACATACAGAGAGAGATAGATAGAGGAAGTTGAGGGCAAGTTTCTTTCCCTTCTTAATTTGTTGCAGTAACAGTAACAGTGGTAGTAACTAGCTATCCATGGACTGTAGAAGAAGAGATTGGGGATCAGCACTTGTTGGGAGTGAAGCTCACCACTGAGTTCGCGGTGTCAAAGGCGACCCGGGTTCCCTGCTGCTGTACATTGCCGATGATCGACAGCTGCGAGTTCGTGGGGGCGAATGCGAAACAGAAGGTTCCGGTGGAGTCGACCGGGACCAGGTAATTCTTGGCCGGCAGCACCAGCGCCTGCCCTTCTGGGAAATGCAGGGACACTGTCGGCACGTCGACGCTCGCCCTCCCGGAGAGATCGTAACATGTGTCGAACAGCGACACCCCGGACGTCCTGGGCAGCGCCTGTGCGCCCTTCACAAAAGCATCACGCAGGGTTGTGTAGGCTTGGGACTGGAGCCGCGTAATGGCTGTGCCGGAATCGACGATGGTTCCACCATCTCCACCCTCATCCATCTGGAACGAGGATGGTGGGATCGACAGCACCGATCCCCCAACCCCGATCCCCGACAACCCGATGTAGTAGAATGTGTTCATCCGGCGGTTGTGCATCAGAGGTGCCGTCACCGTGCCGGCTGGATCACCGCCGAACTGGAGGGTCGACGAGGAGGATGAGTCCCGGTCGACCAGGCAGTACGAGAAGGTATGAGATCCGAGTTGGGAGGGGAAAGAGAGGGCGCCCTGGCCCAGCCCCAAGAGTCCGGCAGCAGCAACGAAGAGGCCCTCATTGTCGTGGCCGCAGCCGAGGGCGATGTTCCGGACAGGCGCCGACTGTCCGAGGGTGAGGGTCTCGGTGGCGAAGTCACCAACAGTGTAGGAACCGTCGCCGTAGGAGACCTGGTACATGCATGTCGAGTTGTTCCGGCAGGCGGAGACGTCGAGCGATCTGCACACAGACGAGTCGCAGCCAACAGCTCTGTAAGACGATGAGGAGGTGGGGTTGAAGACAGGGTCGGCCTGGTCGTAGCAGTCGGAGCACGGCTCGCACTGCACCCACGAGACGTCGCTGCCGGTGTCGAGAACCATGTACTGCTCGTGCGCCGGCTGCCCGATGCCCACGCGCGAGAAGTACTCACCGCTCCCCTGCTGCATCCCAGAGACAACCGGGCCCTCAATGCCGGATGCCGCCTCCGACGCCTCCTCGTCTTCTTCAATCAGAGGCTCCATTTCAGAGTGTTTGACGCCTTTGGCAGCAAGGGCCACCCGCGCACTGATGCCGCGCACTCGAGCAGCATCCCGCCGGAGGCGAGCAGCCGTGAGGGCGGCGTAGTCCTCGTGGCCAGAGGGTTTGACGGCTTCTCGAGGGTGGAGGCGCACTGTCAACAAGGACTTAGATGATCCTTCTTCTTCGCCTGCCGATTCAAGCTCAGCCTGTTCCTGCTGCTCAGCTGTTGATGAGAGAGAGAAGACATGGCGTGTGGCTTGAAGGGAGGCCGCGACGTTGAGGGTAGTGGTGGGGGTTGGGTGGCTCTGCAACTCCCTCCCCATAGAGAAAACAAGCAGGTGGGTTAGAGAGAGAAAGAGGGTTAGAGACAACACTGAAGCCATTGCTACTCCAGAGATAAAGCTAGAGAGAAATAGATCGAGTCTTTAGAGAGAGAAAGAGTCTCTCTCTCTAATTAGCGTGGGTTACAGAGAGAGAGAGAGAGGGGAATATGTATGGGGGTTTGGAAGGAAGGTGGGTGGGTATTTAAGGGGAATTGTGGGGCCATGCATAAATGATCACGTCATTGGCATTGGTCGAATAGAAAGAAGGTGCAATTATGAAGAGACAATGCTCTCGACCTACTGTTACTTACTCCTGCCCTTTTCTTTATTCGGCGCTGGACGATAATACCCTCTATCAGAAGCGGCTCCTCCAAGGGTAAAACGGTAACTTTTCGACCCAACATAATTTTATACGATGTTAGGACTTGACCAACGTGCTTTATGATTTGGCAAAAGAGAGATTTTTATTGGCAAAAGTTTATACAAATTTTTTTTTTTTTTTTTTGTGTCTAAAACGGGAAAAAGTTTTTATGTGGTCGTGACATGTACAAGTACAAAGTAAGGTGCACCTCAAAAAAAACCATGTCGAAAAGATAAGATGTTTTTAAGTTGGAAAACCTTAAAATTAATCTTTTTGATCTTGGGACGTGTGAATATAGAGAAAATAAAATTTTGAGTCATAAAAATAATGTACTTTATAACGAGTTTTTTGGACTATTTATTTTTAAAATATTCAAGTGTTTGTAGATCTGCTCAATCTGTATTGTTTTTTGAAATTTTAAATTTTATAGATAAGGTTAAACATATATTTTTAATGCATTGTAAGAATTTCGACACTGGAACTGTATCTTCAAGTAAAATTCAACGGTGCACCTTAATTGTGTAGTAGTATAAGGTGGATAACTTATACAAACATCCATTTTTATGTGTCTCGTAATATTTTTAGCATTGGACATAGATATATTTACATCGGGATCGCTTTTTATGGAATTAAATTATTAAAACTAGGAAAAGATTTTGATAGGGTTGCAACTTTATGAAAATAAGTAAAGCAGAAAACCTTCAAATCGATCATCTAAGCCTTTAGCATTATAGTTATGAAAAAACTTAGAATTTCAAGCCGTAACAATAATGTACATTGTCAAAAATTATCTAAACCATCCATTTCACTCTAAAACTAAGTGTTCACAGATCTGCAAGATCTGTACCATTTTTTAAACCTCAAATTTTATAATCGGTATTGAAAATTGATTTTAGAGCTATCATGGAGATATTCAATGCCCAAAGTTCTTGTACTTTTAGTAACATACAAGACTAGATGCATTCTAACAAATGCTCGATAGAGATTAAGGTGTTTATAAGGTAGAGGTTCTAACACAGGCTTTAATGATGGATAAGCAGTCTTAACGAGCACTGGATAAAAATATGTGAGCTTGATAAGCTCAGCCTTTGAAGATATGCCGTGGTAATTGAATATGTTCTTAGTCACCATATGCAAGACTAAGAATGTTGTAACCGATACTTGATGAAGATAATATGATAAAGCGGTCTGTAATGCATGCTAGATAACTGTCTTAACAAATGGTTGATAAGAAACGAGAATGGTTCTTGATAACACCTGCTCTGATATGCCCCATGATATGAAAATATGAAAGATATGATAATGCCCAAGATTCATTATACGAAGACCACAATGTCTTTAGAGTCTTGACTCATTAGTCTGCCTTTATATGTCTTGATTTACAATCGATAAAAGATATGATACTAATTGCTTGTCAATTATGCATGTTCAAGTCTAACTTACAGTTGATGATAGAAGATATGAAAGTTGTCTCATTGTGAGACAGATTCTAGGATACATATATTTCTAAGGCCCCGATATGCCTATCCATGTGATATGTGGAGGAACCTTATGCGGTTTGATATACATAATGTCCTAAATCCATCGTTAGTTACACATGTGCATCGTAACTTACAATCTATGATAAGAGACTATGAAAACGTTTCAATTTGAGATGGAACTATGAGATACATGTACTCCCATGGCACATGGATGCCTCTCCACTGGATATTGGAGGAGTTTTGAGTGAGAAGTAATATGATTCTATTAACCCATTAGTTAAGAAAATGTGGGGCTTAACAGACAGGGGATAAGGACACCTCACCATATGATGATATATTGAGGTAAATCCTTGAAAATATATCTTTTGGGGCCTTATATGCCAAAGTCCGATAATGATATAACCTGGGCAATATCCAAATTTGGCTTAATCTCAGTTCATATCCATCGTTAGTTAATAAATGGCTTGACTAATCATCCAAAACTTGTTATTTTTTGGAGCTGAGACTCACATAGAATCATATTTAAGGCATTATAATCATCACCCTGAAGTTTCATATCATCCGAAGGTGAATTAACTCGTCATCCATATACCCCGGTGGTTAGAGCCTTAAAAGCTTTATACTCTGTATGTTACAGTCAGGTTGACACCCGGTCACCAAAATTAGGAATTTTTTTATCGATATGAGGAATGTTTTCATGGGACTAGACCATTAGATGAGTGATTCAATGCTCTATCACTCTAAAAAGGTGCAACATTGACTGAATTGACATTAAGAAGTGGTTGCATTTGCAATCCACTGGTTGTGCAATGCAGTTTTCAACAGAAATATAATAAATTGGCCGGATCATATCTTTATCATCTGAGGTCCATTTAAGGCAAGACTTGGACATTGTGTTCGTCTTCGAGTCCTCTTTCATCTCTCCAAATTTTATGTTCAAACGATTTGTCATTAAGAAGTTGTTGCATTCTCAATCTACTGGTAATATACCAGTTTTGCTGATGCAATTTTCAGCAGAAATATAGTAATTTTAATGGACGAGATTTCTCTTATACATGATCCATTTTAAGTGAGACTTGGGTTGTTGGTTCGTCTCTAAGTCTTCTTTTATCCCTCCAAAATTTCATAATGAATGGATCTACCATCTGAAAGTGGTTGAAGAAATACAAAGACGTGTCGAGACAATGCTGCAGAAGCTTAACTGACACTCGATAAAGAATAATAGAATCCCTTATTTTTCTCACATGGTGTCCTTGCTGGATCTGGGATCTGTGAATTCGAAATTGAATATTATGAAGATAAGCATTGACTAATATTTGTTATTATCATCAGAAGATACATGTGTGTGCATTCAAACTCATTCAAATTACATGATTATCATCTTGAAGATTAGAACGTGAAGATAAGGATACAGATCAGCGAGTGGATGAAGACTGAAGATTTTGTGATTATCAATTGATGTTGATCGTTATTCCTTGACATCATTCCTTGATGCAAAGAGGTATTTGATTATTTTGGAGTAAGAGGATCGAATCAACACGAGTGTGTTAGAGAGAAAGAGATAGAGAGTGACTGAATTTACAATACGTTTAGAGGCAGTCCCACATATGACTATTTTTTGATTCACATATGAGATAGAGAGATATATTATAGTCTTACAAACCTACTTGAAGCCCGATCTCGAAGAAGAATAGGTCATACAACAGTACCCCGTCGTTTAATCTCAGGTATATGGGCCCATATGCTCATGATATTGTTTCTATTTATGTATAACTGCATATTTTCTTTTCTAGAATCGAATTTATAGGTTTCAAGGCCTGAATCAAGGGTATTCAGCTTATTTTCCTTTTCTTTAGATGTTATAAATTGTAACAGAGAATTAAATCTCTAGAACTTGTCCGTTGCCAGTATATGCTATAAAAAAAACCTGTGTTTCTATGATATAGAATGCATAAGCGAATTTGTCCCCGAGTGTGATGTCCTCTGCTCTTTGTTTAGAGTCTAATGTTTGTTTAAAATTTTTAATCAATATAAGCATCACATTTTCGGAGTGTCCATAGCCTAACGGATGGAAAAGGCCCAACGAGAAAGTGTCGACGCCATCGGCAATGGCGACACTTTCTGACAAGTTACACGATGAGACAATATGGATGTACGGAAAGGTGTCGTGTGTTAGTACGAATGAACACGTTAGGTGTCAGTACGGGATGGCTCTAACAACCTCATCAGTTGCGCCATCTTCATATTAGTCGAATGAAATGTCACATTAGTTGACATCTGTACGGAGACGCCTAATGGTAAACTGCCAACGACGTCATTGGAAATGGTGCCAATGACACTCCAAAAGGCGATGGAACCTGATTGGTCAGTTTAATGTACGGAATAATATTACGAGATAGACACATGGCAGCTTTTGTCAAGGAGAAGTTTCGAATGGCACTAACAACATTGCCGTTATCGTCGGGCCACAAAAGCGTACCCAGTCCAAGATCACATGATCCTGATCATTAAATGACGTTGATGGCAATTAATGTTAATACATCACCATTGGTGATGCAAGTGCGATGCCACATGAAGGGACCAGATTTCATCCAAAAACTATCAATAGTGAGTATGAGATAGTTCTATCTATAAATAAGGAGCTTCCCCCTCAAGCAAAAGGTCAAAAAACTTTTCACTAAGTGCTAGTAAGCTCTACTAGGCCTAATCCGAAACCTATCCAACCCCAAAACTGGATCAGAATCCCAAGTCTTGCACCTTAGGAACTCTATCCAATTCATTCCAAGCCGAAGGTGGTCTGGATAATTTGACTTACCCAATGTTCGCAAAATCGAACTGAAATGGTTAACCGGACTTAGGCCCGAAAGTGATTTAACTGGTCTAATCGGTAAGCCGGCCGATTCAGCCGCTCTAACCAGGCAAGTACCAAGCAATCAAAAAAAATGTTGAAAATAATAAAAAAGATACAAAAAAAATCTTCTAAAATATAAAAAACATATAAAGAATGTGATTAAAACAAAACACACTTAAATGAAGTCGAAAAATAATGAAAAAAATGGATTTTAACGAATCGATTTGTGCCTAGGGATATTTTTATATTTTTTTGAAAAATATGAGAAAATATAAAAGTGAGTACCAATAACCAATTTGTTTTTTAATCTGTACCATAATGTAAAGAATATTAAAATAGTATTAAAAAATCGACATGACAATCTCTTTTTTTAAAAAAAATGAAGAAAAACTTAACTTATATACAATATAGGCCATTTCTTTTTGTAAGTACATAGTAAATGGTTATTGATTAGTGAGTCTAATAGGCAACTAAATGGTAAATGGTGTAATGGTTAGTGGGTTTAATAACAATGATTTCTTTACGAGAACTTTCAAATTGTGGGCAAGTAATTTTTTTGAACCAATGTAATGAATTCCTGGGGGTAAGTAATTTTTTGATTCGAACCATCATCCTTATAAACTTTAACCATCCACACTAACCAACACATCAATCTAAAGTATTTGACAGGAATGTGACGTATTAGTTATTTAAACTTAAAAAAACTGGTTGATCACCAAAACTGCCCAAAACCAAAAAACCAGACGGTTAGCGGTTAGATCAGCCGGTTTTGCAAAAACTGGACGTACCAGACCCTCTTCCACCTACACTCATTTGTCCAATGAAACCTGAAGGACCGGGAAGAGCTGTGTGACTACTGTCTCTAAACCGGCACCGACTTCGAGCGCATGGCCTAGGGGCCTAGCTTAAGGTATCATTTTTTTTCTTTTTCTTTTGCTTCATTAATGGCCTTTATTAGGTTTCCTATTTTTCAAAAATCTTCATAAAACCCTATTATTTTCATTAAATACTGCGAAACTTCTTTCGAACTCCAAGGCTAAGGTGTGTGGGAAACTGGCTCTACCGACAGTTTGAGTGAGAAAATATATGTTGCTATACTCTCGTCTAGAACGTAATTTGATGGGAACCTTTCTATATCAACTCCTTTTCATGAGTTTACACCTTAAACCAAGGTGAGGATCACGTTCATTGCTCGTATTTTTTAATATAAACAACATGACGCCCACAATGGGGCCCATCAAGCTTCCAATACACCTTAGTCGTTGAAGTGACCAATGGGCCACCATCAACTCGGAGTTCGTCTTGGCTCGCTCCAAGCCTCTTTTCACTGCTTTTGGGGTTTAATACGAGCAAACACCACATGGAAAGGTGTTGATGCCATTTTCAGTCACGCCTGGCTACTTCAACCCCTGCTCCTGGGTTCTCTGGAAACCAAGGTCAGGACGCCATTGATAGTTGCAGTACTGCAACCAGCAATAGTGCCATTCTCCTGAGCCCCCAAAAAACCATCGTTGCCTCCCGGGGCTCCTCTCTTCCTTTTGTTTGGAGTTTGGGAGATTTTGAGACAATGGAACTGCAACACTCATTGGTGCCATTGACACTATCGCTGGTCTTTCTCTGCCCTGCTCCATTTCTTCCAGTACGTTCGAAGTGGTGGGTGTCTTGACGCCCTTCTCACTGCCACCGACGAGCTCCGCATCCACGTCAGAGTTGGGATTGTCTGTTGGGTTTCTAGTGGTCTTGATCTTGATGTCATTGCTACTTTTGTTGGCGCCATTGCCATATTCGTCAGCCTTCAGTCGTCTCGGACTACTCTATTTTTGCATCGTAGCATAGCTTTACTACTTTCCTGCATCTTCCTCTGCCCCCTTGGTTGACCTAGAACAAAGGGCTTATACCCCCCACTTTGAATTGTGCTTTGAGAAGAGCCACACTTGACTCCAGGTGCGCCCAGCCCTGCATAAGGTGTGCCTTTCACTTGAACCGAACCTTTAGTTGGTTTCTAACCAAGGATGCACCTCACTAGGCACCAACATGCATAGTATTCACTAATTGTTAGGGTTGCTCGGTACGAATAGTACCCCACATTCATTTACTTGATTTACGCACTCTTGCTTAGCTATCACACTTTCACATGTACAGTTGTGCTATCATTTTCAGAAAACATGTATCCATCCTTGAGGTTTCCGGAGCGGGCACCTAGTTCCTAAAGAAAAGACAATTGGGATTGTGGACCCTCAATGAGAGTGCACCCTTTGTGTATACGCAGCCTTTAAGAACAGCCCACACTATATTATTTCAAGCCTTAAAAAACATGAACATTGTAACAGATTATCTGGACTGTCCATTTCATTCTAAAAACAAGTATTCACAGATTTGCAAGTTCTATGCCATTTTTTGAACCTCAAATTTCATAATCGGTGTTGAAAATTGATTTTAGAGCCATAATGGAGATGTTCAATGCCCAAAGTGCTTTTCAGATGTGGATTCTAATTGACTATTTATTTTGTTTTCATGGAGTCTAAGCTTTATGGAAATTGCATCCTTAAGAAAAATAAAAGAAATTTTTTATAAGGTGCCAGCCTTAGACTAATAAATTAGGCGCATCTGAAAAATTCACTAAAAAAAGTTCTTTTGACACTGAAAACCTTCCAATAAATTATCTAAACCTTGGGATGTATGGATGTTTTTCAAATATTAGAAACAATACATTTTGTAATGTATTGTCTAGACTGTCAATTTTTTAGATTTTCAAGTGCTCCTAAATCTCTTAGTCTATACTATTTTTTAACCTTTAGATTTCATAATTAGATATGCAAATAGATTTGTAGATCGTCATAGAGATTTCTAGCACTTAAACTGCATCTTTCGGCATCATTTGGGGTACACCTTGCTATTGTTATTTAAGACACCAACCATATATAAACCTCAACTATTTAAAAATGGATTATGTTATGGTAGACATACATGTGAGCCTTTACTAAATATACTCAACATTTTTTGAAACTTAATGCACTTAACCTATAATGTAGTAACCTCTTATCTATGGGTATTTTAGATAATTATTCAATGGAAAAATAGAAATTCATGATAAAAAGAAGAGCATTTATTAATTATAGTGGAAAATTACATCATCCACATGAGTGTGACGTGGAGCATTAAATACTACTAACTTATCATAGAAATATCTATCCTACCCTCCTAATGACGAAAAATATTATTGCTCAAAAAAAATTGTACTACGAAATAAGGGTAATTAGTGTCGAAAAATGTTGATACATTTAGTAAATGGTCACATGTGTATGTACCGTAACATAACCTTTTTAAAAGTATCCAAAAACTTTAGAAATTTATGTTAATGGCCTACCGTTGAGAAAAAACAGCCTTCCCCTACCTAAGTTTGCATTTGAACAATGGCATGTAAAAGGTATTTTCCTCACAGACACACTGGCTGCGTCTGGCTAATGAGTCACAAAAATCTGAAAAGAGAAATTTGGAAAAGTTGGAAAACATGCAAAATGGTTTTTTAAAGCTTAGTAGAAGAGAAAACTATTCTAATTAACAAATGAAATGAAATAAGAGTGAAAGGATAGAAATGGGGCTACTTGGTATACCCGAAGTGGGGGCTTGGTGTTTCTCCAAAATGTGTATTACAAATTTTGTTATTACAACTACAGATAAAGGAAGATAACTAGAGAACCACACATCTGGGGAACAAAGTTATCTCTACTTCTGTATGCTAGAAAAAAAATAAATTACAATGAATTGGGTTTGTGTTGAGTAGTTTACTCCTAACCTCTATACAACTCAAACACCTTTGAACATCTATAGAGTCGAAAAAATAATAATAATAAATAAAAATAAATAAATAAATAAATAAATATATATATATATATATGGAAAAAGCTTAAGAATGCCGGTTCGCGTATGCTTTTTGTGGTGCGCCCAACGGCAGAGATAACACATTTCACATTTCGTTTTGAATGGCGATGCGTTAAAAGCCTTGCTGAAAGCCCTTTATCGCTTAAACTCTCTCCCCATTCTCGTTGAAACTCTCTTCCATACAGCCCAACTAAGCACCCATCTGAACCAGTTAATCAATTCACATAGGAGAAAGTACAGATTTCTTACAATACCTTATCGTATTACCATAAATAAACAACGAGTAAATTCAATTGATTTTTCATGAAGATGTTAAATGACAATTCAATCGATTCTTGGATTCAAGATTTAAAAATTTAACCTGCATCAGCACCATTTCTGTGGTTTATAATATTTAACCACGCTGATTAAATGGGCTAAATCAGTGTGATACCAAAATTAACAAATTTACATTCAAACGAAAAAAATACCTCTTACTAAAACATTAAAAAGCAAAAAAAGAAAAGAAAACAAAATCTCACAACCATTTCATAACAGTATGAAGCCCATTATGGCAGACACGGAGAACTACTCATAGACATAAAGTAAAGCAATAAAAATAAACAAAGAAAATTACAATTTGTTTCAATTTGTTTTCCAACTATGAGGGGAATCGTCATATCCATATAGAAAATAGAATTTCATCTAATTGAAGAGAAATTAGAATAAACTGGCTTGAGTCATCACAGAGAAGAGTTGAAAGTAAAGGGGGATTAAGAGAGAGAAGAAAGAAATTACCTTTCAGTGTCAGCTTTCAGCGAGAGTTGGCTTCCTTTTACTAACGAGAGTCGGCTTTTTTTTGTTAGAGAGGCTTTCGCCAAAATATTGCTAGAGAAAGAGAGTTCTAGCGAGAAAGCCCTTTCAGTGAGAGAGAGAGTTTCAGCGAGCTAGAGAGAGAGAGAGTTTCAACGAGGGTTTCAATTTAGGCTAGAGAGGGAGAGAGTTTCAGCAAGGGTTTTAATTTCGATTAGAGAGAGAGAGTTTCAGTGAGGTTTCAGCGAGGGTTTTAACGCATCGCCGTTCAAGGGCGCACCGCTAAGGCATACGCGTACCAGCGTTCCTAAGCTTTTTCATATATATATATATATATATATATATATATATATATAAAAGTCTTCCTAACACCTATAGGCGATAGGGGACAGTGATTTCTTCCCTCCTCTATCCACTGTTCGTCTGTTTATTTAAATGGGACGAAACGAGAGGCTGAGATTTAATAAAAAACAACTTGCGCACGAAACAAAAGATTCGAAGCCATTGAAATTTCAACCTACCCCTCTCTTCCCGCTTCCCATGGACTGTGAGCTTCCCTCTCTTTCGCTCGCCCTTCCTCTGCCCTGCGAAGCCTCTTGTCCTTTCTCTACCAAGCCCTCTATCCCCTGCGTTGCGAGCTTCCATCTCTCTCGCTCGCCGTCCGTATGCCCTACGATGCCTTTTGTCCTCTCTCTACGAAGTCCTCTATCTTGCTCGAGCTCTTGTCTCCATTGCCCTCTTCTCTCACTATGAAGCTTCTTGCTGGCAGACCCACACACGCAGTTTTTTAACAAACCAGGTGAGTTCTTCCTTGCCATCTCTCTCTCTATGCACCGTTCGTCTATTTGCTTAAATGAGATGAAACGAGAGGTTGAGATTTAATAAAAAAACAACTCGCGCGCAAAACAAAAACTTCGAAGCAACTGAAATTTCAACCTACCCCTATCTTCCTGCTTCCCCTGGACTGCAAACTTCCCTCTCTTTCGCTCGCACTCCCTCTGCCCTATGAAGCCTCTGTCCTCTCTCTACCAAGCCCTTTGTCCCCTGTACTGCGAGCTTCCATCTCTCTCGCTCGCCGTCCCTATGCCCTGCGAGACCTCTTGTCATCTCTCTACGAAGCCTTTTGTCTTGCTCGCGCTCCTGTCTCCATTGCCCTTTTCTCTCACTGTGAAGCTTTTTGTTGTCAGACCCACACACATAGTTCTTCTTTGTTGCCCAACCCACGATCTCTCAATAAACTCTAACCCCAAATCAATAATAAACTCATTTTTTCTCAAAACCAAACCAACATTTTTTATTCAAATCCCAAATCGAAATGTTCCAATAAAACCCTACTTTTTTCCTTAATAAAACACCAAAAACGGGAGAGGAAATCACAGACAGAGAAAATAGAAAAGAAAACTACATATGAGAAATGAAATTTTGGATTTGGTTTAAAAACATTAGGTGATTTCAATTTATCACAGTTTAAATCGAACCTTGAATCACGTGGAGTCCCTTGAATCAAGAAAATTCCCTTCATTTTCACCTATTCCCCTTATCTTTCCTATATCTAAATCTCATATCTTTCTCATATTTAAATCCTGCTTAAATCTCACACTAAATATAAGATAAGCTTTAAAAAAAACTAACTCACACTAAGATTTACCTTTCCTAAAAACTCACGCTACCCATTTATAAAATAATAAATTAAAAAAATAACAAAATTACAATTCTAATTTTTTTTCTAATTTTTATCTGCATCATTCTCCCCCGGTTGGGAGAAGCTCAATCTCGAGCTTGACTTAAAGTTGATCCCCTTCATCATTATGTAGGACAATCTCTTAAACTTGATCTTCTTCTGGAACTTTACCCACTTCCTTATCCAAGTTTACCTCCATCCTTTTTTTTGGAAATTCATAGACACGGTGCCCTAGCTTGTTGCATCAATAACACATGAACTTTGCTGTATCCCTTTTCTCTTCATTAAATATTGGTTGACGTGAAACTTCCTTTTGGGAGTAAAATCGCTTATCGCTGCTCCCTTAATATTTAGTTTCTACTTGTAAATCAACTTGAAAAGCTCCACTTAAAGTCCATGGTTGATGTAGAAAAACGTCATCCCTAATAGTTGGTTGAAGGTCATTTTACATATCGAACAACTTTTTGTCTTTTCAACTTTTGAAGGTTATTTCGAGCAACTAATCGATAAAACTCCCCTAGTATAATCTTCTATTTTCTTTTCTTATTTTGTCGAAGATTTTGGTGTTCTTGAAAGAAAATTTGTTCATGATCCACAAGAAAAAAAAAATTTAAATTTCTTTTTCATCTTTTTAACAATCAGTAGTTTTTCTTTTTCCACTGCAAATTCAAGATTGTTAAACTTGCTCTCACCAGGCTGCAGTATACTCGCGAAGCTTGGTAGCAACAAGTTTAACCTTACCATGAAATTCACTCCATTCAAAAAACTTCTCAACTGGACTTAACCAATCAATAAACGCTTCAATGTGGAGCTTACCATGAAATTTTAGGAGATCGATTTTGATACCGAAATCTCATGGTTACTCTATAGGATGCGAATCTTGTTTGAAATTTCTTCTTGACATTTTGGATCAGTAGCCGAGTCGGTCGAGAAGCTTGATTTGTCTCTACGGTGAGATTTGACGCCAAGTTGAGGTTGTGAGCGCCCTCTTCTTGATGAATGGTGTCCTCCAACTGTTGGAACTTCAGATCCAACCGTTGTATCCCATGATTGTTTTCACTTATTTTTTGTTAGATACCCTCCAACGTTGTATTTAAGCTCTCCTGAATTTGTTGACCCATATAATCCATGAGTTGCAATAATATATCCTCGAATGTAAGAGTAGGTTTTGATGACATCATAACTGTTGGATATCTAGATCTTACTTGCTCTGATACCAACTGATGTTGAGAGAAATAATAAACCAAAAAAATATAAATATAAAATAAAAATATTTGAGAGAATATATCATCTCTCAAGGTCTACAAGAGAATCCACCCCAAAAACAATCTTTTCACAAGATTAATTTTACTCAATTCAAATATTTTCACAATATCAACTTTACTCAATTCAGATCTTTTCATAATATCAACTTTTATCAGTTCTCATTATTTGATCTTTCACAATGAAGGGATATCTCCCTTTAAATAGACTAAAAAAAGATAAACAATAATTAAAAAAAGATATCTCTCTCTAACATGCACATTTTCCCCCACGCTCTCTATGTTTGCTCTCTTCATCTCCCTATTGTCTCTCTTCTTCTTCTTCTTTTTTTTTAGTTCATTTAAACTCTCTCTACACATCATGTGAGCTCCTTTGAATCAAGGAAATTCCCTCCATCTTTACGTACTCCCCTTATCGTTCTCATATCTTTCTCATATTTAAATCCCATTAAATCTCTCACTAAATCTAAGATGAGCTTAAAAAAACTAACTCACGCCAAGATTTACCTTTCTTACCCATTTTTAAAATGATAAATTTAAAAAAAAAACGAAATTACAATTATGAATTTTTCCTAATTTTTATCTACATTAGAGAGAGTGGGAGGAATACAGAGAGAGAGAGAGAGAGAGAGCGAGAAGCGGTTTGGGGAGAGTCATGAGGGAGAGAGAGAAAAATTTGAAGTGAGCATCACGTGAGAAAGAAATGATGAGGTTTAGAAAAGGCATGTCTTTCTCAGATTTTTCTAGGCTAAAATAATAGATTTAAAGTGGGTAAAGTTGGTATAGCGGTTTAAAAGATAAAAACCTAGAATTTCTATGCCCCAAAATATATTTTGAAACCTTAAGTTTATTGAGATATGAAACTTAAACATAGGGGGTATGAAGATATTTTCTCTATATTTATTTGTTAGTCCATTAGCTGATGGAATAGTATAAGCCCAATGGTCCATATTGAATCTGGACCAATCTGATGGTTCCAAGTGTATTTTGTATTTAAATTTAAATTTTTTTTTCTAGATCCAATTATTTGAAATTTAGAGTTAACTCTTCACATCAAGATTAACTTAATAAAATTGTTAAAAAAACTTATTCGTAAAAACTAAATTGATCAAAATTCCCTTATAATTTTCAGGGGTATTTGGGTTAATTTATTTTTTGTAATATTTTTTAATGTTTTTATTAGGTTTACCTATTTTTAAGAGTAGGCGCTCAAATTTTTAAATGAATTGGATTTGTAAAAATAATAAATAATAAATAATCAAATTCAAATACGAAATGCAGTCATAAATCTAAGTCATTAGGCGTTGACTATAGCTGTCAACTAGCAAGTTGACCTCGTACTCTGCTAGTCGTGGGAGGCAAGGCACACAGGGGATAGGG